GCTAAAACGAACATTCATATGAGGGCAGAAAAAGTAAGAAAAAAGAATGATCATTTTCTTACCTTCAATTTTTCATCAGCCATTCCTTCATAATTGGGCATCGGTGTGATTTCTGACGTTTTTAGCACTTTCACATTTGAGCCAAACCTCAAACAGCTGTTTAATTATAAAGATCAATCATATTATTGAAAAATTTGAATAGTTTAAACCCTACCTAGCCTTCTTTCTGGCCGGTTCTGCAGGAGTTGACTGAGCCACAGGCAGGATAAAGTTCGGCGAACTGCCATCGAGAGTAATAGGGTTCTCATTCTAGACGAAAACCTCATATAGAACTACTTTGAAAGCTTCAGAAAAAAATTTAGTTTTAACCTTACCATTTCCTTACTCTCCAAACTTTCTGTTAGAGGGATGACAAATTTTGGAGTGTCAAAAAATGAATCTTCTGTAGCCGAAGACAACTGAAAGTTTCGTGAGCTGAGCGCTGCAACACCAGTCTTAGTTACGCATTTACCTGGGATTTTCTCCTACTTGTTACTTTTCTCTCGCCCGTAGGCGATTTTGAACAACGATAATTCTTCACCGGCTCTTCCTCAGCATCTTGTACTGACTGTGACACTAAAAAGCATAAACTGAAAACCATCGCAAATAGCCAAAAAAAAAATTTCGCAGCTTACCACCAAGCTGGCTCATCTCAACTGGCTCGTACCATGCTTCTTCCATGTATGGATCCTGATAGTTGAAGTACTCATAACCATAAGGATCGTCTGATTGCTCTAACATTCCCTGATTCTGCGCAGCAGCCGACTTGGAGTGGTCTTCCAGACAAACAACATCATCACTTTCGACGGAATCAGGTCTCGTTAGCGGTTCTACCTTCTCTTCTGATTCATCACCATTCAGATTGTGCGCTGAATCTGACTCGCCATTTTCGCTACGGGAGAGCCTGAATTCAAGAATTTGCGTAAACCAACTCTTCTTCTTGGCCTTATTCAGACCGCAAATGTTTCTTCGCTGACGACGTTGCCTGCAGAGAAGAGCGCCGATTACTACCTGCAGCAGTATGGGTTCGGAGAGGAGTAAAATTCCATGAGAAATCTTCAACAGCTATAAAAGCAAACTCAAAGACTAGCGATAGACCTCAATCATGAAATCGAGAAAAAACACCTACCATCTTCTGCGGCGCTCTTTTCATCAAACAAATCCGGGCTTTTACTGGCTCGAGAAGGCCCTGGAGTGTTCAGATTTTCTGGTATGTCGAA